TAAAAGCAGGTGCTGGAGCTGAGCTTTCAGTCTCTAAGTACCTAACTCTAAAGCTAATGCTAGTATTGGGGCTTGAACTCAGGTCTGGGCATTGTCTCTTAGTTTTTTCACTCAAAGCTAGCACTTCTATCCATTTGAGCCATAGTTCCAGTTCTATGGGGTTTTTGTTTTTGTTTTTGTTTTGTTTTGGTGGTTAATTGGAGATAAGAGTCTCACAGACTTTCCTGCCTGGGCTAGCTTTGGATTGCAATCCTTATACTTCAGCCTCGTGTATAGTTAGGATCACAGGCATGAGCCCTAGCGTCCAGCTAAGCCTGTGCTTTTGACCATTGAGATGCAGGGCTTTCAGTCCTGCTCTGCTGCCTGCAGGATCTATGAATGACTGAGTGAAGTCTATGGCTTGATCCTGGACACCAAGTAGTGTTTAGTGGTGGAAGTCAACACTTTGAACTCTTAATTATTTTTAGTGCTCGTGGAGCTTGAATTCAGGGCCTGGGTTCTGTTCCTGAGATTTTTTTGCTCAAGACTAGCATCTACCACTTTGAGCCACAGCTCTACTTCCAGTTTTCAGGTGGTTCATTGGAGATAAGGGTCTTACAGACTTTCCTGCCCAGGCTGGCTTCAAACTGCAATCCTTAGATCTCAGCCTCCTGAGCAACTAAGATTACAGGTGTGAGCCATCAGTGCCTGGCAACACTTCTAACTCTTATAAGGCTGCTAGCACCACTTCAGCCTCTGTACCTCTCCCTAGGTACAGCCTGTCCCTCCTGCCAGGCTGTCTGGCACTCCCCTGTACAATTTTCTTGAAGTGTCAGAATGCCAAGGTATCCTGTTCCCCGCACAGGCCCTTGATCTCACCTGGGCCTTTGCCTGCATGGTGACTCAAATCAAATGCTGTCCCTGCCATCTGTCTAAAGGCTTCTAACTGTATCTTTGCTCCCTATTCTAGAAACCTTTGGGAACTGACTCTTTGGGGCTCCTCTGAGAGGCTGAAGCATACACTGGCTGATCTAAATCCCATCCAGCCCTCTCCTAAGAGAACACCATCTTTAGTTGCAGCTTGCTCCAAGGGAAGTAGCACGTGCTTCCCTTAGGGTCTCCACAGTGCCTGGCTACCCAGTAGGCTCTCTCAGTCAGCTGACCTGGGCTGGACTGAACTGTAAGCACATGCTGCTGGGGCGGAAGCCAGGGCCAGCTTCGGGTTTCTTTCTGCAGCCTAAAGAGAGACCATGCTGTTATTCTTGGACTTGTCAAAAAAAAAAGGAAAGAAAAAAAGAAAGATTGCCTTATAAGGCTTAAAAATATATACTGTTATTTTTCCTTTTAATTCATAAATTAAAAAAATTAAACAGGTTTTATGTATCTCCTCTTATCCGGTCCTGAGCCTTCACCTCAGGATGGTGTCTGGGCACCGTCTCTCAGCTTTTCCACTCTGCTACTTGAGCCAAACCTCCACTTTTAGCTTTTTTTTGGTGGATAATTTGAGATAAGAGTCTCATGGACTTTACTGCCTGGGCTGGTTTTGCACCGTGATCCTCAGTTCTCTGCCTCCTGAGTAGCTAGGATTACAGGAGAGAGCCATTGGCGCTTGGCTTTGGCTTTGGCTTTGTGCTTTATATTTAGGAAAGATCTGGAAGGCCCCTTGCCATGCTGTGAAGATAGGTTAAAGGAAAAATGAAAGAGGCTTATGGGAATGCGATGGGATAGAAAACTTTGCCTTTTAATATTTAATCTTTTTAATGTAGAGATACAGACATAGAAGGTTATGTAGATGATCAGCCAACCAACTTTTTGTTTGTTTGTTTGTTTTTTAAAAATTGTTGTTTAGGGGCAAAAGTACCCATTCCCGATCCCAGCCTCAACAAAAATAATGTTAGAGCTAAACTGGGGGAACCAAGAAATAAGCAGAGCCCTCACGCCAAGTTTGCTATGTTCCCGGAAATCTACTGGATTTCTGCACATGAGAAATCAAACTAGACTTTGGTCTAGCTTCAGCCCCAGCCCCAGAGCTTTTCCCCCAGTTTAAATCTTCTTGGAAGTAGACAGGAAAGCAATCTTTTTTTTTTTTTTGTAGTCAAGGGGCTTGAACTCAGGGCTTGAGCACTGTCCCTGAGCTTTTTTGCTCAAGACTAGCACTCTACCATGTTGAGCCACAGCTCCGCTTCTGGTTTTTGAGTGGTTATTTGGAGATAAAGAGTCTTACAGGGACTTTTCTACCTGGGCTGGCTTCTAACCAGGATCCTCAGATCTCAGCTTCCCAAGTAGATAAGATTACAGGCGTGAGCCACTGGCACCTGGCTAAGAAAAGCAATCTTAAGTCAACATCCTAGTTCTTCCTTTCCCAGGTCTCTAGCAAAGCCTGCCATTAGTCAAGAGACACAGATAATAGGACCAGGACACCTTCTGAGATAATTCAGTTCACTCCTCTTCTTTCATAGGAAGACTTGGAGAGCAAGAGACCAAGCTTGTCCACCAGCCCCCCTGACTCCCCAGATTTTTAGTCTAAGTCTATTTTCTCTCCCTCAAACTTGGCTCTCTCCACAAACCCCAACAATATAGCTGCAAAGAAGGATGCGCTTAGGCTCAGGCCAAGTACCAAGGGTGTTGAGTAGATGATGATTCATCCTCTCAGACAGCAAAAGAAATGGGGATAGAAAAAGCATGAGAATGTTTGAGTGAAGTAGCATGGGACATGGAAATGTGTACAGACTGTATTTTAATGATTACACAGGCCCAGATGCTCCTCAATTTACAATAGTCTGACTTACAATTTTTTGACTTCATGATGGTGTGAAAGCATACCCCTACAACCATTCTGTCTTTCCCTGTCAGTACTTTATTCAATAATTTTTATGTGCTAGTCAAGGTTTATTAAATAGGCTTGATGTTGAATGATTTTCCCCAACCGTAGGGTGATGTCAGTGTCCTGGGTGTGTTAAAGATCAGTGAGGCTCAACTAAGCTGTTTGATACATTAGGATATGAAATGCATTTGTATGGGTGTGGGTGTGTGTACGTTCATGCATGCCCTAGTCTGGGGGCTTGAAATCTGGGCCTTGGGTCCCTAAGGTTTTTTTGCTCAAGGCTAACACTCTACACTTGAGCCAAAGCTCCACTTCTGGCTTTTTAGAGATAAAGAATCTCACAGACTTTCCTATCCAAGCTGGCTTTGAACTGTGATCCTCAGATCTCAGCTTACTGAGTAGCTGGGATTACAGGTGTATGTCACCCAGCTGAAATACATTTTTGACTTAGAATATTTTCAGTATATGTGGGTTTGCCAGTATGTAAACTCATGAAAAATCAAGCAGCATCTATACAGAAAAATTTATCAAAGTAATAGCTGTAGTTACTTCTAAGCAGTGGAAATAGGTTGTTGTTTTTCTCTTCTATTTAACTGTAGCTCTTGATTTGTTACCTATTACACTTGGAGATTCTTTGAATGATTTATGAATGTATTTATTTGTTCACTTATTTAAAGACACAGTCTCACTCTGTTATACAAGACCAGCTGGTCTCAAGCTCGTAGGTTCAAGAAGTCTCCTGCCTCAGTCTCCCAAGCAGTTGGGACTACAAGAAAATACCACTGTGCTCAGCAATTTAAATGAGGGCTTTGAAAACTAGAGGTTAAAAAATAAATTTTTCTTTATTTATTTTGTTTTTTTAGTCCGGTGTTGGCGCCTGAACTCTGGGCCTGGGCGCTGTCCCTCAGCTCTTCAGCTCAAGGCTAGCGCTCTACCACTTGAGCCACAGTGCCACTTCCGGCTTTTTTCTTTTTGCTTATGTGGTGCTGGGGAATCGAACCCAGGGCCTCATGCATGCAAGGCAAGCACTCTACCACTGAGCCACCTTCCCAGCCCTAAAAAATAAATTTTTAATCAGGTGCTGGTGGCTCATGCTTGTAATCCTAGCTATTCAGGAGGCTGAGATCTGAGGATTGTGGTTCAAAGCCAGCCTGGGGAGGAAAGTCTGTAAGATTTTTATCTCCAATTAACAAAACAACAACAAAAAACAAATAGAGCTGTGGCTCAAGTGGTAGAGCACCAGCCTTGAGAAAAAGAAAAAAACAAAACAAAAAAAGCTCAGGGACCCTGCCCAGGCCCTGAGTTCAAGCCCCAAGACCAGCACAAAATAAATAAATAAATGATAAATAAATATATAAATTTTTCTGATGTACACACACACACACACACACATAGATGTTGAGGCTTTTATTTTGCCATTCTTCTCTCTCTGCAATGGGCTCATTCTAACAGAGTACCTGGACAGTGAGTGTCATCCTGGATTCTCTCTGGAATGACCTCATTTAATATTCCAAGGGGAAAATCCTAAGAAGAGCCTGTCCCCTAAGTTCTTCACTTTGTGGCTGAGTCCCAGAGAGGTCAGGTGATTGGTATATTTGTGTCAGACTTGATCTCCAGCCCCATTCCTGAGTTTTATGTAGGCTTATTCTCCAGCACCTATGTGAAGCCTCACTGGAGGTGTAGATGTGGGAATTATTGCAGGCTGGGCATAATGAAGCTTGCCAAGATTCAGGACCCTATGGGCCTGAAACCCAGAGCTGTCTTGGTTGAGGTCAGCACGTCCAGTGTTTATTGAAGGGCTACCATGGTTCAGGTATGGGTGGGAGACAGCCTGGCTAGGGTCTTGCCTGGAGCTGGTCACTGCTTCCTATGCTCCTGGCAGAATGGGGCTGCCTGGAAAGAACCCTGTCACCCCTAGAAAGGACCCAGGGTCAAGAGATTGGGATCACTGATGAACTATGACACACAGTATGGTGGGGGTTTGGGGGCAGGGAGAAGGGCCTGTGACCTCTACTACCACTATTAACCCCTCACTTTTCATGTCCTCCCTCCCCATTTGCTCTGTCCTTTCCTCCTTCTCTCCTGCCTTCCTTCTCTCTGGCTCTTTGTCCATTTGTCACCATCTGTCTCTCTCCATGTGTGGTTCCTGTTCCCTCACTCTGTCACACTATTGCTGTCCCTCTCCGTGCCAATGCAGGCGTGCTGGTCACCATGACAACAGAGGCAGGTCCCGATTCTGAGGTGAAGAAAGCTCAGGAGGAGGCCCCACAGCAGCCTGAGGCCGTGGCTGCAGCTGCTGTGACCACCCCGGTCACCCCCGCAGGCCACGGCCACCCAGAGGCCAACTCCAATGAGAAGCAACCATTCCAGCCGGACACTCGGCCTGCTGAACAGGTGTGTACCTGAGGGCCCAGGGCATCCGTCTTCCCACCCAGCCAGTCCTCTGGGTTCAGGGCTTTGGACTCCAGTATTTTCTCAGCAGGAAAGAAAGAGGGAAAGTAAGACTTATTCCTGACTCATTGCATACTGAGCTGTATGCTGGGGGCTTTGTGGTCATTTTTATATTTAATTCTCTTAAACCTTAGAGGGAAGCTGCTAATTTCCTCATTTTACACTTGGAGAAACTGTGGCTCAGTGGGATGAAGCCAGTTAGTTACCCAGAGTCACACTGCCCTAAAGTGACAGAAGTGAAAGTCAGATCTAGAAGTGATTTCAAAAATAGTTCTTTTACCTTTGTTTTCCTACCTATGAGCCTTTCCATTTGAGCTTGACAAGTTCAGTGTGACTCTGGAGCAAAACTTATCCCAGTACAACTACCAGGGATTAGAGGAATCATCTAGTTCTCAAATTCACATCTCCCTTCCTTCCTTCACCATAGGCCCAGGGAGAGTGTAGGATTGATCACAGGAAGAGGCCAGGCTCTGGTCCTGCCTCCAGTAGACCTTTAACAGCTCCCAGTGATAGGCAAGTCCAGATGGTTGCCTGGATGGTTTGTGCATTGTTCTAGAGAGATAGGACAGCTCTGGCCACAGGTTCAGTTCTGTGAGATGCTCTTGACTTACAAGGCAGTGGCCCTTGTTTTGAGATCCATCTTGGACGTCGCTTCCTCCTGATTACTTCCTGCTTGTGTGAAAGACTGTGATTTCAAACCTACTGACCAAACCCTTCCTTGGTTGGACCCACAGAGCCTAGACATGGAGGACAAAGACTTCTGTGAGGCTGATGGCCTGTCAGAGAGGACCACGCCCAGCAAGGCCCAGAAATCACCCCAGAAGATTGCCAAGAAGTTCAAGAGTGCCATCTGCCGAGTCACTCTGCTTGATGCCTCTGAGTATGAGTGTGAGGTGGAGGTAGGGGAGCACTAAGTGCCATATGCCCTATCCCTGGCCAGCCAGCCTCAGAGCAACCGAGGCTCCTGTGTGTCCTCAACCTGAGCCAGACCAGAGGGGTCCTGGACCGGCTACAGTGTCCAGAGAGATGACCTGGCCCAGTCTTCCTTTGTACAGATGGTAGCAACAAGGCCAGAAAGGTCAATTGTGGTTGAACATAATATTAGACTCAGTGCAGGGCAGGCATCAGGAAAGGATCCTCAGGGCAGTTCTATCACTGTCTGACCCCTAGATTTGAACCCTGCAGGCCCAGAAACAGCTCTTCTGTCTCAGCCACCAGCGTTATCAATGAAACTAGAATCTTTTTATTTTTACTTTCATTTTTAATTTAATTTTATTTTTTTTTGGTACCAGTCTTGGGTATTGAACTCAGGTCCTGGGCACTGTCCTTGAGTTTCTTTTGCTCAAGGCTAGCACTCTACCACTTAAGCCACAGTGCCACTTCCGGTTTTTTCTGTTTATGTGGTACTGAGGAATTGAACCCAGGGCTTCATGTATGCTAAGCAAGCACTCTGCCACTAAACCACATTCCCAGCCTCATCCCTTAGCTTTTTTGATTAAGGCTAGTGCTCTACCAGTTGAGCTGTAGCTCTACGTCTGGCATTTTGATGAAGATGAGACTCTCATAGACTTTCCTGCCAGGACTGGCTTTAAACCTGGATCTCCAGATTCCTGAGTAGCTAGAATTATAAGCATGAGCCACTGGCACCCGGCTTTAATATTTATTTATTTATGGGGTTTGGGTACTGTCCCTGAGCTCTTCAGCTCAAGGCAAGCATTCTACCACTTGAGCCACAGCATCACTTCACGTTTTTTTTTGTTAGTTTGTTTTTTTCTGGTGGTTAATTGGAGATAAGAGTCTCTCAGACTTTTCCTGCCTGGGCTGGCTTTGAACCATGATCCTCAGATCTCAGCCTCCTGAGTAGCTAATTACAGGCGTGAGCCACCAGCGCCCAGCTTTTTTTTTGTTTTTTTCTTGTTTCTTTTGTATGATAGGTAGTGAGAGGGGTCCTTTCATCCTTGTGAACAGCCCTGTCCAAGGTCCTGCCTCTAGTCTCCAGAACAAAACTTATCTTCTCAGGATTCTGTGTCAAGTAGGTCCATACAGTAGGTCCACACAGGCCTAGGTGGTCCAAGGGAAGGATGAGTTTCATCTGTGTAGAAGTGCCTGCAGCATGGCCCTGCCTCTTGGCAGTGGCATTTAATGTCTCCTGTCTTAAATAAGCTCAGATCCGCCCTCACAGGGGACTCTTCATTCATACCTTCCCACCCCCATCTAACCCTTCCTCCCTTAGGAGTTCTGCTTTGGTCCAGTATCATACCAGGCCCTTCTCCACAAGCACAAAAGAGTTCAGTGGCCCCACTACCAAGACAGCCAGGAGTACTTTGGAGTACTTTTCCTTCTCCCCATGCCCTGTTTTTTGTTTGTTTTTTTTTTTTTTTTGGTTGGTAGTAGATCCTGAACTCTGGGCCTGGGCACTGTCCCTCAGCTCTTCAGCTCAAGGCTAGCACTGTGCCATTTTGAGCCACAGCACCACTTCTGGTTTTTGAGTGGTTAATTGGAGATAAGAGTCTTACAAGGACTTTTCTGCCCAGACTGACTTTGGATCTTAATACTTAGATCTCAGCTTCCTGAGTAGCTAAGATTATAGGCATAAGCTACCTGCATCCATCTACTTCCAGCTTTTTGATGATTACTTAGAGATAAGTGTCTCATGGACTTTCTTGACCCAGCTTGCTTGAACTGTGATCCTCAGATCTCAGCTTCCTGAGCAGCTAGGATTACAAGGAGCCACTGGTGCCCAGCTAGTTTGGTTTTTAGGTGTATTTCTGTAGAAGGGTTTTAGGGTGGGTACCTTACCTGTGCTTGAACAAAGTAAAGGGTTACTTTCTTCTTCTTGCTTGCCTGTGTGTGTGTCCCAAGATGTTGCTTTAGTCTGACCTAGAAGTCCGTAGGGGCTTTGGTCCAGGCCAGATGTGCTTCCTCACGCAGACTCCTCCAGTCTCAGGAATTCCTTGCCAGGCCTGGTCCTGATCCCTGGTCCCCAGGGACCAGCCCGACCCTGGAGAGCCCTCATTCTTTCCCTCAAGTCCCCTACCTTTTCAAGTGGTGACTGCCTCCCATTCCCTTAGCTTAGTTATGCTCAGTCCTTGGGCTGGGCTGGACCTTGTTTCATGAGAGCACTGGGGAGAAGGTAACTCTGACCATGCTGCTTCGGGTGGAGGCTGATTCAGACCCATGGCTCTTTCTACCACCTCACCTGCTACCCACATCAGGACCAGCCAGGAAAGGACAATAACAGTCTATGGTTCAAATCCCACCCCGTCCCCTGCTGCCCTGCCCACATCCCTCATTTCTCAAGGGGCTCTTCTTCTCCTCCTACCCCCAAAGCTTAGAATTTTGGTGTGTTGCTCCCACTGATGGCTGTAAAGAAGGAGAAATCAGTCACTCCCCACTATACCCCAACTGGCCCTAAGCAAGGTCATTGTCTAGAGAGACACCCAGTAGACTCTGAGGAGGCCTAGGTGAGCTGGATGTTTTCACCTCAGAACTTCTTTTTTTTTATTGTCAAGGTGATGTACAGAGGAATTACAGTTATATAAGTAAGGTAACAAGTACATTTCTTGTCAAACTTGTTACCTCTTCCCTCATTTTTCTCCTATTCTCCCTCCCAACCCTTCCCTCAGAACTTAACAGTCAGAGGGCCAGGCACCAGTGGCTCATGCCTGTAATTTCACTATGCAGGAGGCTGAGATCTGAGGATCACAGTTCAAAGCCAGTCTGGGCAGGAAAGTCCATGAAACTCTTACCTCCAATTAGCCACCAGAAAACCGAAGTGGCACTGTGGTTCAAAGTGGTAGAACAAAGCCAGGTGCTGGTGGCTCACGCCTGTAATCCTAGCTATTCAGGAAACTGAGATCAGAGGATCGAGATTCAAAGCCAGCAGGAAAGTCTGTGAGACTCTTATCTCCAATAAACCACTCAGAAAACCAGACGTGGTGCTATGGCTCAAGTGGTAGAGCCCTCACTTTGAGCTGACAAGCTGAGGGACAGTGCCCAGGCCCAGAGTTCACACCCCATGACCAACCCAAAAAAAAAAAAAATTTGTACAGCACTTGAACAAAAGAGCTCAGGGACAGCCCCCAGACTCTGAGTTCAAGCCCCATGACTGAACCCCCACCCTAAAAAAAGACTCAGAGAGGAAAGCCAGGTTACAGGAGTCTAGACACAGGGGGCTCTTGGGGGCTCTCCAGTCATCCGAATGAAGCCCAGGGGAGCTCTTGGCCCCAGTCTAAAGTACACGAAGCCCTACAGCAGCTCTGCTCTCCCTTCAGAAGCACGGCCGCGGCCAGGTACTGTTTGACCTGGTCTGTGAACACCTCAACCTCCTGGAGAAGGACTACTTCGGCCTGACCTTCTGCGATGCTGACAGTCAGAAGGTACCTGGCTGGGTGAGGCCTGCTGCAGCAGGCTGGGGAGTGGGTGGAGAGGGGGAAGCCTTTCCTCTTAGGCCTCCCTGCCCTGGCCACACCCCCTGGCTTCCATCATTTCCCAGGTACCTTCTACTTGTCCACCCTCAAGGACCAGCAACTTCTGTTCACCCTCAGTTCTCTGTCTCCACTTCTTGCCCCTGGTCCCTAGATGGTATCTAGAGAGCTCCATTGTGACTATATGGGTTGCTTGCAAGAACTGAGGGTCCCCTGGGGGATGTGGGGCTATAATACCCAGTCACTATGGCAATGCCAACCCTGGGTGCTGGGTTTCCCAACCCCCACCTCCCAGTCCCAAGGGAAAGGGTCCCAGGGGTGTTTCCCAATAGGTGCTGTCAATTGGCCATTACAGGATCCTACTCTCCAAGCCCCATTGGGCCTCTCCTCCATATAACTCTGTTCTGTTTCAGAACTGGCTGGATCCCTCCAAGGAAATCAAGAAGCAGACCCGGAGTGAGTGGCAGCTGTGTGGAGGGGGGGGGTTAAAGATGGGACTATCATACAGTGAGCTCCTTGGTTCTACATGGCAGGTTTTGGGGAAGGCAGGGTGGACATGGTTTTATAGATGATGGGTCTGGGGTCCAGAGAATGGATCATGCAGAGTTACAAGCAAGTTGGCAGAGTTAGGGTAGTCACCAATGACCAGAAGCCCAGAGAGAGGCAGGTACTTACCCAAGCTCACAGAGCCAAATATTGCCTGAACCACTCTTGAGTCCTGGCCTTTCATCCGGTGCTCTTTTCAAGGCCTGAGGAGAAGGCAGATGAGCAGGCTGACAACCTGTCTTTTTTTTTTTTTTTGGCACATTGAGACAAGGCCTGTTGGGAGGGGTGGGGCAGCTTTCAAATGGCAGAAGGGGGAGTTCTGTGGTCCCAGCAAGGTACCCTGCAGGAAGTGGAGACCTGGAGCCTGGAGGCAGAGAGGCCTCTACTCAAGGCCCCTCCTCCTGACTATGCTTGGTCTCTCCAGGGTTGGACTCCCTGGTCCCCTGGCTGGAAAGCTGTAGCTGAGCCAGTTGCCATGACAGCAAGCAGCTGGGCCCAGGGATGCCAGCCTGACTCTGCGGGAGGGGCCTTGAGGAGATCTTCCTGTAGGTTTCTGTCAGTTGGAGACAAAGAGGCAGAGCATGCAGCAGAGCATGCTCCTCTGAGGCTGACAGCATCCTAGGCCCGAGCTTCCGGCTGTCCTCTGGTAGCTCCAGCCTGCCTGAGAGGGCTGTCTCCTATGGGAAGAAAACCCATATGGGCAGCCAAATGTGCAGTCTTTAGTAAAGATCAGGAGCCTGGAAAAGAGAGGCAACCAGGCCAAATCCTTAGGCCTCAGCGTGGTTCCCCAGAATGTGTGTGCGGCCCCTTGCCAGCCCAGCTTGGCATGTGGATGTTGCCACTGGTGGTACCTCAAGCCAAAGATGCAGTCTTGGTCCTTAGCAAGTACTTCCCCTAATAGAAGCCAAGGCTCTGCCCCACTCCAGAAACTTCTAGCTATTCATCCTCATCCTTCCCCATGGGATCCCAGGGATACAATTTTGCCTCCCTCCAGTCCTTTATGATGACCCCTCAGCTTCTGGAAGTAGCTCCCCAAACTCCTATCCCATAGGAGTGTCATCTCTCAAGCCTCAGTGACCATCACCTTGGGTACCTGGGGAAGGTCCTATAGAGCCTACTGCCTCTCCTTAGCAAGTGGACTAGCCATTCCTATCTTGTGAGATGAGGGTGACAGTTAAATTGACAAATGCATGGACAGCACTCAGCCAAGAACAGGTGCTCAGTGGCTGTTTCATTTGAGCTTTTCTATAGCATATGGACAGACACTAGGGCCAGACCATCTGGATTTGAGTCCTGGTCTATCACTCCCTCTTGTGTTAGATAACTGATCTGTGCCTCAGTTTCTTCACCTATAAAGTGGGATCATGATAGTATTTAGCTTTAGAATTGTGAGAAGAAATGAGTTGTCATGTGTATGATACCAATGACAATGTCTGCACCTATAATTAATATATACCAGCCTATCTGGATGTATTACCTCTGGATGTTACAATTTTTTTGTCAGTAGTAGGGCTTGAACTCAGGGCCTGGGTTCTATCCTTGAGATCTTTTGCTCAAGGCTAGCACTCTACTAGTTTGAGCCACAGCTCCACTTATGGTTTTATGGTGGTTAATTGGAGGTAAGAGTCTCACAGACCTTCTTGCCCTGGCTGGCTTTGGACTGTGATCCTAATATCTCAGCATCCTGTGTAGGTAGGATTACAGGCTTGAGCCACTAGTGCCCAACGCTCTGGCTATTACTTACTATTACTGTTATTTTTCTTGAGAGAGTGTGTGTTCATATCACCTTGAGATTGCTTTTCTCCAAGAATCCTTATGGTCTGGAGCCTGGGCTCTGAGGTCAGATGATAGATTTTGGACCCCTATTCTCTGCCACCAATTAGACGAGTGACTGAGGAAAGTGACTTAGTCTCAGAGTCTTCCCCTATAAAAGGGAAACTCAGCTGGGAAGGTGGCTCATGCTTGCCTTGCATGCATAAGGCCCGGGGTTCGATTCCTCAGCACCACATAAACAGAAAAAGCTGGAAGTGGCGCTGTGGCTCAAGTGGTAGAGCACTAACCTTGAGCTGAAGAGCTGAGGGACAGCACCCAGGCCCAGAGTTCAGGCCCCATGACCAACAAAAAAAAGGGGGGGGGGACGCAGGCTGGGGATATAGCTCAGGGGCAGAACTCTTATACAAGGCTTTAAGTTGCACCTCAGCTTTGCAAAATAGCAATAATAGTAATAATAATAATAACAATTATACCTCAGGGTAATTATGGAGATTAACTTACTACCTGTGCATGAACCTAGCTCACTTCTTGCCGGGCTAGGTGTCCGCATCTGCAAAATAGGGCTAATCACAGGACTTTGTGGGGTTGTTTTGAAGCTTGGTAAAGTGAAGTTTGCAAAGCAGGGTGTATGTGGTGTGAGTACCTGGCACACAGCACTGAGTTTTCTTTCTACTTCCTTCTCATTGCTCACAAGTCTCTTAACCCGAGTCTTGGTTTTCTCATTGCTCAACCGAGAATCATGTTTCAGGCTTCCTGGTTCCATTGCCATGAGATTAGAGATAGAAAACTGAAAACTTATGATTGGCTGGCATATCCAGGCTGTCCATTGAGATGATAGGGCCTCTCTAATCTCTCCTCCTCTTCTCCTCTCAGGCAGCCCCTGGAATTTTGCCTTCACAGTCAAGTTCTACCCCCCTGACCCTGCTCAGCTGACAGAAGATATCACTAGGTGAGGACTGTGGATGGAGGGCCAGGCATATAGCCCTGTGGGACTATGAATAAGGGTTCCTAGACTGAGAGGCACAGACTAAGCATGGCTAGGAAGTAGTGAAACAGACAGATGAGGCTGGTCCTTGTGGTTTCTGCTTATAATTCCATTACACAGAAAGTTGAGGCAGGAGGATTAGGAGACCAAAGACAACTTAAACTACATAGTGGATTTGAAAAGTCAGCCTGGAAGACCCTATTAGAAAAAAAAATCCATTTGGAAGTGGCACTATGGCTCAAGTGGTAGTGTGCTTGTCCTGAGCTGAAGAGCTGAGGGACAGCACCCAGGCCCAGAGTTCAAGCCCTATGACCAACCCCTCCCCCATCCCCCCAAAAAATCTAAGGACAGAAATACAGATGTGAGTTGCACCTGACCCTTAACTTCAGAAGAGGAGAAGGTGATCCAGGGGCCTGTTGGACCTATTATGCACTTAAGAGGACAGTTGTTGTGGGAAAAGTTGCTCTTCAGCACTGGGCAATCATTGGCCCCTGGGAACTGGGCCCCTGATTGTTGGAATAAAGCTAGAGATCTGAGAGTGGAAACCACACATTTTATGTATTGACAAACTCAGGCACACAGTGTATGAACCTCGTGTGGGCCATCTCTGGGACAAATACAGCCCACGTGAGGCCTGATAGGAGGGAGTAAAATGCCAGAGCTGCTTTATATGTAGGATTGGGCCCAGCGTGTGCTCTGTACGAGCACATGGAGATCAGATCAGGCAGAGGCTGCCTGGGCTACTGGGGTGAACACAGCCGATGTGTGCAGTTCTGCGCCATAGATCAGGTGGCCTGAGATTGAAAGGGGGTGCAAAGCATTCTTCCAATGGTAACCTCATGCTCTCATCATGTGCCTGCAAACTAATGCAGGGAGAGGCCCTTCTCTGTCTCTAAGCCTGGTCCAGAGAGATGAGATCACTGCAGGATAGATTGGGGCTGTGTCATCCAAGTGATGGGTCCTAAACCCCACAATAAATTCTCAGTGTGAGGGGCTGTTAAGCCACCTTCTCTCTCCCATTTGGTCCCTTCTTAATGCCTGCTCCCTGTTTACAAGCAGTAGTCCAATGTTAAGACACCAACTCTGGCCTTGGGGAATAAAACAGATGTTCTAGCGAGGCCTTGGTGGCCTCAGGAGGCTGAAATCTGAGGATTGAGGTTTGAAGCCAGCCTGAGCAGGAAAGTCCATGAGATTCTTATTTCCAATTAAACACCAAAAACAAAACAACAATAACAACAGAAAAACAACCTGGAAGTAGAACTGTGGCTTAAGTGATAGAGCACCAGCCTGGAGTGAAAAGGCCCAAAGTTTAACCCCAGGACTGCCACCGGGATTAAAAAAAAAAAAAGACATGTCCTGAAATAGGTAAGCTTCCAGTCTTGGCCTCATTTACCTCTTCTTGAGCCCTGAGGTCACCTTGAAACCAAAACGGCTACAGGCAGATCTAAACTCCAGAGCTAGAATCCAGTACCCCACTCCCTTCACCCTTCCAGTCTTGCCCTGGACCCTCTCCTCTCAGTGCAGGACTCTAGGCATTGGGCTTCGAGAGACACCAGGGGGAAAGTTAGCCCTGTCCAGCCCAGATGGCCACAGGAGGTAGAGTGGTAGGAGCAGCTGATTAAGTCAAAAATAGTGAGGCCTAAAATAAGCCGGTCAAAATGACAAATTGATTGCAATGAAAGATTGGTCAGAGTGTCTGGCAGTAATTCCTGAATTTTTTAGCTTTTGAACAAAATGTCACAAGCCCATGCTCAGTGTCTGGACCATCCTGCAGGCCCCTGCTCAGTGTCGGGACCATCTGAGCCCTGCTGGTTCTGAGCCTGTGCTATGGCTGTGAGCACACACTTGGACTGAATTTTTTTTTTTTTTTTTTTTGTCCATTGTGGGGCTTGAAACTCAAGGCCTGGGCACTGTCCATGAGGTCTTTTTGATCAAGGCTAGTGCTTTACCACTTAGAGCCACAAGCACTACTTCTTGTTTTCTGGTAAATCATTGGAGATAAGAGTCTCACGGACTTTTTCCTGCCTGGGCTGGTTTTGAACCTTGATCCTCAGATCTCAGCCTCCTGAGTAGCTAGGATTAGGGCATGAGCCACCAGCGCCCGACCTATATGTGCCTTTTACCCAGGCTTCAGTTTTGACTCAAATAATGTCATGGAATTCTAAAATTTACACTAAGTAAAAGCCCCTTTAAAGGAAGAGAAATAGACGATTGGAAAAAAATTACAACACATAGCAAAAAGGGCAGGGGAGACGTCACTGGTTGAAAATGAACTGAAACACAGTGTCTGTATTTTCAATACACAATAACTGATAAAGCAATAACAAAATGGTTTTAAATGGTTCTAAAAATTGTCAAGTCATCCAACTGTGCATATAACTTATAAAAAAAGGAAAAGAAAAGTGAGCCACGCGCCGGTGGCTCACACCTATAATCCTAGCTACTCAGGAGGCTGAGATCTGAGGATCACAGTTCAAAGCCAGCCCTGGCAGAAAACTCAGTGAGACTCTTATCTCCAATAAAGCACTAGAAAATCAGAAGTGGCGCTGTGGCTCAAGCGGTAGAGTGTTTGCCTTGAGCTGAAGAGTGCAAGGACAGTACCCAAGCCCAGAGTTCAAGCCCCATGACCAACCAAAAAAAATAAATAAAACAAAAACAAATAAACCATGGCCTGGTGGTTGGAAATGTTTCTTGAAGCCAATTTGTTTTTCAGACAATTTACTTAGAGCTGGAGGCAAAATAAAAAGTTTGGAGAAGAAAGTCCATCTGGGCTAGGAGAGGCAGTCCAGAAATGAAAATGAATGAGGCAGAGTCACATGTGCCAGGAAAAAACAGCCCTAAGGCTTGTGGAGGGAGGGCGGGGGTGCTGAGTGAGGTGGGGGAGAGAGTAGGGGGAAGTCGGGGAATCTGAAGGTATCAGTCGGTTCATACATCTCCAGGCCTAGGCCCGAGCCCACGCCCTCTCTCCCCTCTCCAGGTACTACCTGTGCCTGCAGCTGCGGGCAGACATCATCACAGGCCGGCTGCCCTGCTCCTTTGTCACACATGCTCTGCTGGGCTCCTATGCTGTGCAGGCTGAGCTGGGTGACTATGATGCAGAGGAACATGTGGGCAACTATGTCAGTGAGCTCCGCTTCGCCCCTAACCAGACCCGGGAGCTAGAGGAGAGGATCATGGAGCTGCACAAGACATACAGGTGAGTGGGTCTGCTGACTAGTTGGTTGGAGCTCTTCCTTGCAGGATCTGAAGGTCCTAGGCCCTGATGTTGTACTGTCTGTGAGCTACCTGGCTCTACTCCAAACCCAAGATGGCTGAGAACAGTTGCCATCAGATAGGAATAACAGACTAGCTGTGTGACCATAAGTGATCTCTTGGGACCTCAGGGTTTTTTGTTTCATTTTTTTGTGCTAGAACTAGTGCTTGAACTCAGGCCCTAGGTGTTATCTCTTCGCTTTTTTGCTCAAGGCCAGTGCTCTGCCACTTGAGCCACAGCTCCACTTCAGGCTTTGGAGAAAGGAATCTCATAGACTATCCTGCTCAGGTTGGCTTCAGACCTAGATTTGCAGATCTCAGCCTCCTATGTAGCTGGGATTACAGGTATGAGCCACTGGTGTCTAGCTGAGACCTTTTAAATTTCTTAAGTTTCTATATGGGTATTATAATTCTCTGCCCTTGACCTATGAGGATTTTTCTTTATCTGCCACGTGGAGGTGATAACTAATTGTGTGCCTCCGTGTGAATGAGCTAATGTCTAGATCTTGGCATAAAGTTCAAATGCTTGGGTTCACCATCTGGTTCTGTTGCTTTCTAACCAGGAGGGCTTGGCAGGTCACTTCATTTTCCCATGCTTTGGTCTGTTCAAACCCACCCTGCAGGGTTGTTGGGAGGCCATGTGGCACTACTAAAGACACACTGCATGTTGGCCATGACTGTGGCTATCTGTGAACAGTCAAGTGTGTTCCTTCTTTCAGGAGTGAGAAGGTTAGTAACCAGATGTGTGAGCACAGGCTATTTAACCTCTGGAATTCCCACTTCTTTTACCTGCTAATGCATAGCCTTAGATGATCATTGTTTCTCAACTGTCGGTATCCAGTGCAGTATAATTCCCACCTGGATCCCAGGCATTATGGACCCCAATCTCCCTTCAGTTGCTATGTCAACCCAGATGCTCCCCTTTCTGCCATTTCCAAATGTTTGTCCTGCAGGGTTACTAACCCCACCCACCCAGGGAGGAATCCATAGGGGCCTTTTAAGCTGGTCATGCTTTGGGCTCCAAGTTCAAGGTTATTTTGGAAACCTCTTGGGACAAATGATGTGAAAGTGGATCCATTGTAAATGACAAAGCTCTGTGTCTGCAGGTTGTCCTATGGTGACAGGGATCTCATTACTATGCAGGGTGGAGGGTGGTGTGCTTTGGGCTACATCTGGAGTGGAAGGCTAGGACCTGATGTGGAGAAGACTCTGCTGGGGTATGATGATGAACACTAGGTCCAGAGCAGCAAATGCTGCCTCTCAGACTCATATACCACTGCTACTTGGTTAGTACTGACTAGTATGATTTGTGTTGAGTAAGGCTACAACTGATAGCCATGGGCATCTGGACACAGGTCTAGGGCAGCCTGCCTGCCCTCTATCTACCATCATCATACTAGATAACAAGGTACTTTAGAGATACACAAGAATTTTAATAATTCATTGAAGGACATTAAGATCAATATAGACTTGACAGATGCTAATGGTGATTCTCAAAGTTCTCTGAACCTAATGTTCATTGACATTTAGTGTCATACATCCCCCACAGCAGGCAGCTCAGAGGTGAAGAGAGCACAAATCAAGGAGGCCCAGAGGATGTGTGAGAGAGAGAGCGCGATATATGATGAGTGCGTGGAAGCACAAGTTCAGGAGCCACATTGTCTGTATCAGAATCTCTTCAGGAGCTGGGAATGTGGCTTAGTGGTACAGTGCTTGCCTAGCATGCATGAAGCCCTGGGTTCAATTCCTCAGTAACAAACAAAAAAAAGCCGGAAGTGGCACTGTGGCTCAAGTGGTAGAGTGCTAGCCTTGAGCAAAAGAAGCCAGGGACAATGCCCAGACCCTGAGTTTAAGCCCCAGGACTGGCAAAAATCTCTGTGAGACTCTTATCTCCAATTAACCACCAGAAAACTGGAAGTGGAGCTGTGGCCCAAAGTGGTAGAGAACTTAGCCTTGAGCAAAAGAGTTCAAGGACAGCACTCAGACTCTGAGTTTAAGCCCCAGGACTGGCACAAAAGAAAAAAGAAAAAAAACCCGAAACCTCTTCTTGAGCTTGTATATGAAACAAACATGAGCACATAGACACTGATAGAAGTTTCCTTTCAACAAGAGTCAAATGTAGTCTGAGTTTCCTGAAAAGCTAAGGGCCTTAATGCTGTTAGTTTTAAAAGGTCTGGAAAGTAGGCAAAGAAACAGCTAACGCCAGCATAGGTTTATTGGGGACAAAACTTGCAGAGGAGACCCTCCGGTCAGAGCTAGAGACTGACTCCTTGCTCACAGGCTGGGGTAGTTGTTGTGAGTCTAAGTGGACACTAGATTTGTCTGGTGGGGGCTGGTATGAAAGTAAGTAATGATGGGACATAGAAAACTTGTGAAACGGGCCACGGTTGGCATAAGGGAGGGAGTAAAGTGAAGTGTCTCATGTTCAAAGCCCTGGTCTGTCACCCGCCCAAAGAGTTATAGTCAGTCAAGAAGAGAGGGCGAGGCAAGAGTGTTTGTAAATCAAAGCACTGGTCTGGGGGCTCAAGATGATCCGGATCTTAATGGATTCCCATCCTAAGTCTTCTTTTCAGGAAGGGAATTTGTGCACCTGTGCCTCAGAGAGTATTCAGTGGCTGCTGACAATAAATTCTGAGGGCAATGGCTTCTGTGGGTAGTCACCTTTGGGTGATTACAGTGGCGATCATCTTCAACACTGGTTCCTTGGTTATAGAGATGCAGGACATTTAGCTCATTTAACTTGGTGACCATTGAGGCAAAAAATCATGACTCCTAGCCTAGCCCTTGCCTTGTCTGCTTCTAGGAGGAAACAAGATGGGACCTGAGCTGTGCAGAAGACAGGGTTGGGTAGATGGATGCTGGGTCCATCCTGCCCTAAGGGCAAAGGGAAGAGCTGGATGAGACTCTGCCACCTCTCTTCCTGGAATGACAGGCTCTGGTGGTGACCACTCGTAGCCAGCAGGACCAGTCTTTTCCCTTTTTGTCAGTCGTGGGTCCTGAACTCTGGGCCTGGGTGCTGTCCCTCAGCTCTTCAGCTCAAGGCCAGTGCTCTACCACTTGAGCCACACCACCGGCTTTTTCTGCTTATGTTGTGCTGAGGAATGGAACCCAGGGCCTCATGCATGCAAGGCAAGCACTCTACCACTGAGCCACCTTCCCAGCCCCATAGGGCCAGTCTTGAGTGATGACATTCTTTTCTCAGGGGCATGACCCCAGGAGAAGCTGAGATCCACTTCCTAGAGAATGCCAAGAAGCTTTCCATGTATGGAGTTGATCTGCACCATGCCAAGGTACTGCTGAGCCCAGCCCCCTCACCACTGGGTGTTGCCCCCCCCCCCAAAAAAAATTATTATGCCCCTCTAGAGCGCTTGGGGTGCCAGACCTGTGTTACCGCCAGCTCAGAATCTTTTCTGGTCATATTTCTCATTCCTCCAAGTTCATGGCTTTAGTTCCCCTTCATCTTGGCCATTTCCTCGCGTTCCATTTCTTTATGAACCTGTGTATCACCATGAGATGGAGAGCACATGGCCTAGCATTGTGTATCTACCTGCATGTTTGCTGAGGTAATGTATGATTGAATGACAAAGCCAGTGATGGAAGAAGCGAGGAGTGAAGGGCTGTGTAGACAAATGAGTGAGGGAAGGAAAGACAAGATGATTGTGGGAGAGATTAGTCTTGGGACTCCAGCACAGAGTCTCTCACTAAACTCCTGAGACTCAGGAGAGGGTTTAAGGTGGGTGGCATGGGCCCTGGGCCTGAAGCCCAGGCCTCTCCATTCTCCGGGCTCTTGTGCAGGACTCCGAGGGCATCGACATCATGCTAGGTGTCTGTGCCAATGGCCTGCTCATCTACCGGGACCGGCTGAGGATCAACCGCTTCGCCTGGCCCAAGATCCTGAAGATTTCCTACAAGAGGAGTAACTTCTATATCAAGATTCGACCTGGGGAGGTGAGCTGGCCCTCAGAGCTCTGCTCCCATGGGGTGACCAAAATAGGTAGACCCAACAGAGATTTGGGCTTTTCATATCCAGAGTACATGGACAGAAGAACTGGTTCCTCATGGATCTTTGCATAGAGCACACACACACACACACACACACGCACGCACGCACGCACGCACGCACGCACGCACGTACGCACGCACGCACATATATACATGAGTAAAATACAATGCTAGCCATATGCACTCACATTACACAAGTAGTACATGTCTGTGCATGTGTTTGCTTATATGTAGTACTCCAACATGTACACATATTGAGACACAGCCGGGCACATGCTGACAACATAGCATGCATGTACAAACATGTCCACACCTCTTTTTCTTTAAGTACACATCACATCCATCAAAAATCCTTTTGGCTGTCTTGCTGGAGTACCTGGGACCACCTGCCACCAACAGCTGCCTCCTGTCACCCATGTCACTGGACTCCCTGTCTTTGTTTCCATAATTCAGATCCTGCGAAGCTCCCATTCACCCCATCCACACATCTCCTTGTCTAAGCCTTCTAGGAGTTCTTTAGGTCTTGGGTCGGAGTTCAGGTCCCAGGACCACCTACCTTTTCCACCTCTTCCTTGTTACACTGGCCCATACACACGATGCCCCGGTCTCTCTGGCCTTCCCTGCAATTTTTGAACCAATTAAGTTTCATTCCTGCCCTGAATCTTTAGCATATGATGCTGGTTCCTTCTTCCTGTTAGTCAGCTTTCCATTACTGTAACAAAGCATCCAAGACAATCACCTTTGGAAGGTTTTTTGTTTTTTTTTCCCAGTCCTGAGGTTTGAACTCAGGGCCTGGGCACTGTCCCTGAGCTGCTTTTGCTCAAGGCTAACACTCTACCACTTAAAACACAGCACTACTTCCAGCTTTTTCTGTGTCGGTGATACTGAGGAATCGAACCCAGGGCTTCATTCATGCTAGGCAAGCACTCTACCTCTAAGCCACATTCCCAGCTACCTTGGAGGTTTTTTTTATCCCTAATGAGTTCCAGTACATTTGGCCTGTGGTGAGGCAACGCATCCTGGCAGGAGCATGTGGAGGAGCAGAGTGTTCGCCTCATGGCTGGGGTGTAAAAAAGAGGAAGACACCTGTGTCCATACTCACTTCCACAGGTGCATTGCCAGTGACCTAAAACCTCCCACCAGGCCCTAACTCTAATGGATTTCCACCTCCTTCCAGTATACCACTCCAGGGCAAAACCTTCCATGTAGGGACCTTTGGGGGACATTTGAGATTCAAACTATAGCATGCCCCCATCTGTCAGATCTTAGCTCAAAACTTACCTGTGTAGAGATCAGACCTGATCACCTGAAATCTTCTCTGTTGGTCCCCATGGTGTGTCTGATGTTTATCACTGGGCCTGTCACAGGACCAGGTCTTCCTGACTAATGATTACATAAACGTGTCAAAGCCACATGGCTGGGAAAAGGCTGAGAAAGGATGGGCTGGTGGTGAGCGTGGGGCCCAGGCTCTGCCACTCACCCCACCCCCCTTCTCCGTTTCCCAGTATGAGCAGTTTGAGAGCACCATTGGCTTCAAGCTCCCAAACCACCGGTCAGCCAAGAGGCTGTGGAAGGTCTGCATCGAGCACCACACGTTCTTCCGGTGAGCCGACCTGGGCAGGTAATGGGGAAGAGGCAGAGGAGGTGAGGGTACAGGGGAGCAGGAGTTAGTGGGGACCCCAGGAAAGCTTCGTCTTTCCCCGAGTCTCCTTTCTGGGCTACTTTGAGGTGTTGTTGCTGGTGGGACACTAGGACAAAAGACTCTCCTTGCTGGTCCAAACCCTCCCTCCTCACCTCCATCCCTCCCGTGCAGGCTGGTGTCTCCAGAGCCCCCACCCAAGGGCTTCCTGGTGATGGGCTCCAAGTTCCGGTACAGCGGGAGGACCCAGGCCCAGACCCGCCAGGCCAGTGCCCTCATCGACAGGCCCGCACCTTTCTTCGAGCGCTCCTCCAGCAAGCGGTACACCATGTCCCGCAGCCTAGACGGAGGTAGGGCCCGGGCTGGAGGTGGGGAAGAGGCTTCTCCCAGGGCAGTAGGGGAGCGGGCACCCCAGGTCCTGGCATAACGCGCAGGGACAGCAGTGGACGCATCCTAACTTTAGTTGCACCACACGTGGCAGCCCAGAAATACCACCAACACCCAGGCAGCACTTGGTGGGCAGCTGGGACCCCCTAGGGCTCACTGCCGCTGGGATGCCACCTGCTGTTGTTGAGACTTCCTGGAGTCACGAGTCCTGTGGGATTCCAAGGTCAGCCACGTAGTGTTCCATCCCCCTGCCTGACAAGCTCAGGGTGCACAGGTGGGCGTCGTGTCAAGAGGATGGTAGACTGTGGGTGATGCAAAGGTGATGCGCATCTCTCTGTCTCTCCCCTGAAGTCTCCATTCCTAAGCCAGGTGCTGAATGAAACCTAGATCTGGTTGTAGCAGGTGTTAGCCAAGAGCTGGAGAAGTTTGTAGGGAAGGGACAGAAGCCTGGTTTCTAAGCCAGGAGGTCAGGCTCTTATCCCAATGGTTGGCCCTTCTTCCCTCTCAGTTTATTCGTGTGTGTGTGTGTGTGTGTGTGTGTGTGTGTGTGTGTGTGTGTGTGTATGTGTGTGTGTGTGTGTGTGTGTGTGTGTGTGTGTTGGTCATGGGGCTTAAACTTATTCTTGTGTGTGTGTGCGTGTACGTGCGTGTGTTGGTCATGGGGCTTCAACTCATGGCCTGGGTACTGTCCTTGAGTTCTTTTGCTCAAGGCTAGTATTCTACTTCTTCAAGCCACAGTACCACTTCCATTTTTTTAAATGGTTAATTGGAGGTAAAAGTCTCACAGATTTTCTTGCCTTCGAACCTCAATCCTCAGATCTCAGCCTCCTGAGTATGCTAGGATTGATTACAAGTATGAGCACTTGGCTTCAGTTTATTCTTCTAAGATGAATACAGTGATTTCCCTGCTCACCACCAAGAGAGTATTGTAGGACTCAAATCAAATGATGTGCCCAATACTTTGCACATTGAGCATCTATGGCTAGCGGGGGGAAATTCTTCTCTAGTTTATTGGGGGTAATCTGTGTTCTGGTTGGTTTAACTCAGTGTTTCCCACCAGGACTCAATTTATAGGCTTAATCGGGTTACACCCAGAGGCTGGTGCAAAGCTTCTCACTCTACTTTTTCCCATTCAGAAAAGTATTTTGGAGTAGCTGTGAGTAAGATAGATGTTATTTATTTATTTGTTTATTTTTGTCAGTCATGGGGCTTGAATTGAGGACCTAGGCATTGTCCCTGAGCTCTTTTGGCTCAAGGCACTTTGAACTACAGTGCCACTTCCAGTTTTTGAGTGTTTAATTAGAGGCAAGAGTCTCATGAGGACTTTTCTGTCCAGGCTTGCTTTGAACCATGATCCTCAGATCTCAACCTTCTTGAGTAGCTAGGATACAGATATGAGCCACCAGCACCGGCTAGATGTTATTTTTTTTTCTTTTTGTTGGTTGTGGGGCTTGAAGTCTGCACCTGGGCGCTGTCCCTGAGCTCTTCAGCTCAAGGCAAGTGCTTTACCACTTGAGCCACAGTGCCACTTCTGGTTTTTCTGGTGGTTAATTAGAGATAAGAGTCTCAGACTTTTCCTATCAGGGCTGGCTTTGAACCATGATCCTCAGATATCAGCCTCCTGAGTAGCTAAGATTACAGGCGTGAGCCACCAGCGCCCAGCTAGATTTTTTTTTATTAAATTCTAATTAGTAAAATATCCAGGCACCTGTAAACCTAGCTTCTCAGAAGGATGAGATCTAAGGATTGCAGTTTAAAGCCACCCGGGCAGGAACATCCATGAATGAGATTCTTATCACCAATTAACACACACACACACACACACACACACACACACACACACACACACACACAAAGACTGGAAGGGGAGCTGTGGATCAAGTGGTATAGTGCTAGCCTTAAGCACAAAAGCTCAGGGACAGCACCAGGCCCTGAGTTCAAGCCCCAGGACCAGCACAGCACAAAAAGAAAACAAAAGAAAGCATTCACAGTCTGTAGGACCTTAGCTGCCAACAGTAACACAAAGCCAAAGCAGTGCCATTCATGGGCCAGCATTCTGTGCCACTTTACTGAATGCTTGTCCGTGTTCACTTGTTTGTCCCTCACTTCCACTTTCTCAAATAGATACCACGTAAGGATGAGGAAATGGAGGCCCAGAGAGACTATGTAACTTGCCCAAGGCCACACAGCCAGCAATGGTTTTAAGATGGAGTTTTTTAACATGAATTTAAGACCTGAACCCAGTTTCTGGTGCTGTAGAAAGCAGGAGGGAGCCCTGGACTAGGAGGCCCCTCTTGCCATTTCCCCCCCCCCCCCTCATTGGCCATGTAATGGGGTGGTCAGCAGGTTGGGCTATGGAAGAGACGTGGCTGGGTGGCAGCGGGGCAGGCTTCCTGTCACACCTGTGGCAGTGACTCCCACGGTCACCTGGACATCTCTGCCTATTTCAGCAGAGTTCTCCCGCCCAGCCTCGGTCAGTGAGAACCACGACACAGGGCCAGACAGTGACAAGCGGGATGAAGATGCTGAGTCTGGAGGGCGGCGGTCAGAGGCAGAAGAAGGAGAGGTCAGAACTCCCACCAAGATCAAGGAGCTAAAGGTAGGAGCCTGGATGGCTGATGGAGGTCTAGGCTCCCCAACCTGGCCCCACATCCCCAGCTGAGACCATCCAACCTTGCCCTAGGACACATAGAGATGGGACCTTGCCCTCTGGGTGTTCACCACACCCGGGCGTCCTGGGAGGAGTAGGCATACTGCCCCTGCCAGCCCTGTACACTTCACTCCTGTTATTCAGCTTCCCCCTGCCCAGGGAGGGGGTGGGGGTGTAGGTCTCCTCAAACCTCCTGGTGCTCACTCTTAGTCTGCCTTTAACTATAATCTGGCTCCATATTACCTCCTCTTCCTCCCCTCCAGCATAATCAGGTGTCACTGAGTTGTGTCCCCTTCTGCTGTTGGAATTCAGCGTGCATGCCCCGCCCCCCACAGACATATGCCCATGCGCACTCACATACCATGTACGTACACACTTCAGGAATGCACAGCCTCAGCCTTGTGTGCATTCATCTCAAGCATATACAAAGCACACCTCATATTTCATGCACACAGACACACAAATAGCACGTTCACACACAGGCCGGTGCACATGTGCCAGGCACGGCTTCTCCTTCATGGAGTTGCTAAGCAGTTTTTCCCCCCATCATGCAGTTCTGCTGTAGGAGCACAGGCCTCTGAACACACCCCCACTGCAACAAGAAGCATGAAACCTCACACACACACTCAGGCCCTGCCCCACAGAGTGTGGCTCTGCCCACTTTGCCTCAGTCTCCCAGGACTCTTCTTTACCTTTCCCCGGATCCCTGCTTCCTACTCTGCACCTTGAGGCTGCCTCCCCTTGCTGTGGGGAGGGGTGGCCAGCAGCTCCCTAGACAGCACTACGTGGAGGAGGGTGCATGCACTAGGCCTTTGCTGGGGCAGCCAGCCGTGGTGTCTCTAGTCTGTTTGCTGTACTGACCCTGCTGGTTCCTTTCCCTCCTCGTATATCCCGCTAGCCGGAGCAGGAAACCACGCCGAGACACAAGCAGGAGGTACTGCATGGCACCTGCCCTTCCCTGCCCAGCCATCAGGTCCCCTCCCTCATTTGTCAGCATGTCTATCCTGGACTCATGGCCCCAGCACCATCTCTGTCTGCCCTGCCATCCTCCTCCCTGTCATACCCCTCTCCACTCACCCCTTCTCCCCCGCATTGAGCTCATCTTTTCAGACTTCATCGTCTCTCAGCCATCTCTCCCTCCCTCCTCACCCTGCCACCCTCCCGACTGAAACCAAGTATTCCATGCTTGCTTTAAACCTGCTGAGCACCTGACCTGTATCTCTGTGTCCACCCAACTCTTCCAGGTCATTTTGTGCTTCCATTGAACTCCCCTCTCCCATTTCTCCCTCCCCCACCGCACTGTTCAGTCTCTCCTCCATCTCATCAGTATCCTCATGGGAATTGGCATCCCTTGGCAATCAGATTGGCGGGGGGGGGGGGGGGTGAAGGGGGTAGAAGGGAGGAATATCTTCTCTGAAATAAATGTGGCTGCTCTACTCCAGCTCACCTCCCTGGCAGGTTGGCTGTGGTGTATCAGCTCTGTCGAAACCTTTTCTCCTTCTCTCCCCTCTCTTATTTATTGCTTCCTTCAACTTCTTCCTCCTGACTTCACACACTTCCTTCCCTTTCAGTCTTCTTCTTCCTCCTTCTTCCTCCTTCTTCCTCCTTCTTCCTCCTTCTTCCTCCTTCTTCCTCCTCCTTCCTCCTCCTTCCTCCTCCTCCTCCTCCTCCTCCTCCTCCTCCTCCTCCTCCTCCTCCTCCTCCTCCTCTTCTTCTTCTTCTTCTTCTTCTTCTTCAGGCTTGAACTCAGGGCTTGGGCACTAATCCCTGAGCTTCTTTTGTTCAAGGCTAGCACTCTACCACTTGAGTCACAGCGCCACTCCAGCTTTTTCTGTGTATATGTTACTGAGGAATCAAACCCAGGGCTTCATGCATGCTAGACAACAGTCCCAGCCCCCAGTTGTCTATTCTTTATTGGAACCTTAGCCACAAGAGAACAGACTTTATGCCTGGACTTTATGCCAGGGAGAGGCCCAAGACTGGGTCATAGCCAGAGCCTGGCCTTGATGTCCTGAGATCTGGGTTTCAATACAGTCTGTCACTGACAGAGAGGGTCTCAGGAAAGCCCACTCTGGCTAATGTTCTACCACTTTGAGTCAGCTCCAATTCTGGTGGCTATTTGGAGATGAGTCTTATGGATTTTGATGCCTGGGCTGGCTTGGGAATGTGATCCTTAGATCTCAGCTTCCTGAGTAGCTGGGATTACAGGTGGGAGCCACCAGTACCCTGTCTGAAATATGATCTTTAACCTCAAGGTTCCCAGGACCCCTGTGCTCCTTGCTGCCAGCAGGCCAGTTTGGGATCGTCTCGGTTGTGACTCATTAGCCATTGCTGCCCCAAACCCAACTTTGCACAAACTCCATCAGGTGAAGCTTCTCAGATACACCATTCTGCAGGCAGCTCAGCCTCAAGAAGGGGCTGAAGGGAAAGCAGAAGAAGCCTCTGTCTGATCTGAATCTAATAAACTGAAATTCTCCATTTCTTGCCCTTAATAGAGTCCCCAAGAGTCCCCAAACAGCCTTACAGATAAGGTCTTTGGGTATCAGCCTGTCTGCTCTGTCCCAGAAGCAGGCAGATAAACAGCTTGGAAGGTTCCTATGGCTCAGCCTTTCAGGACCTAGGTAGATCACCGCACTGGCATGAGCTCAGCCTTGGCAGCTCAATGTGGAGAGGGGATCATACCTGTGACTCCAGCCATATCTGGCTTGTTCTTGCACCAGGCTTTAGGATTTGCCCTTCTTCTTCCTACCCTGCAGCATCCTGCTCTTTCTGTCTGTTTCATCCCATCTGTTCTTGGTAGATCAGGAGCTCAAAGGCATCTGGAAGATTCTAGGTGGTAGGGATGGTGCTGGCTCACAGCCCTGTGATCAGGGCTGCAGTCTTACCTTGGTCCCATTTTTCTGGATGACCCTGTCTACACTAAAGACATCCACAGGGTTTGGGCAGCTGCGTGTGTTGGGCTTGGAGGGGCCTAGATTAGATGCCCTGCTAAGCACAGTGTTCCAGGGCTCCCCCAAAGGTAAGAACCAGGGTCCAGGAGGAACCTGGGAGGAAAGCGCAGCCCCGAGAACGCACCAGGGAGTTCTCACTCTGGCAGATGCTGCCTGCTGTGTCTTGGTTGTCACCAGAGAAAAGTCATCTCCATGCCTGACTCTTGCTGGGCTTGCCGCACCCAGACCTACTGGGTTTCAATTGAGTTGGGTATTCAGAGATTAGGGAGCCAGGCAGGGGGAAAGAGAAGGTGACTTTTCCTGTTTGTCATTTCAAGAACCCTGGACCCCAGTTGGGCTCCTTGGCCTACTGGGTCCCTGAGACCCACTGAGCAAGCCAGGTTGGGGGTGGGGAATCCTATCACCATGGCAACTGCTGCCATCATCCCTGCACCCTGCCTTGCCCGCTCAGAGCTGTTTCCCTAACACAACCTCCTTCTCTACCCATCCCTAGTTCTTGGACAAGCCAGAGGATGTCCTGCTGAAGCACCAGGCTAGCATCAATGAGCTCAAGAGGACCCTGAAGGAGCCCAACAGTAAACTGATCCACCGGGATCGTGATTGGGAGCGGGAGCGCAGGCTGCCCTCCTCGCCTGCCTCTCCCTCCCCCAAAGGCACCCCTGAGAAAGCCAATGAGGTAGGTCTCTCACCCTGAAGCCCTCAATCCGGGCCTTGGGTAAAGAGCCATGGGGGTGGGGAGTTGCAATGTACTGACTTAATGATCTTCTCCATCAATACCTGTGTGTGGAGCTGGGGGGCGGAGGGGGGGGAGAAAAATCCACTAACTCTTGGAATCCTGGGACCCATAAGACACTCCATTCCACCAGCTAGAGTATTGTGGGAAGAAGTGCTTGCTAGAAATCCAGCAAGGCCCTCTCTGCTGAATCAGAGATTTGGTGGTGGAGCCCTAGGGCAGTATGCAAACAAAAGTCCTAGGTGGTTCTCTTATACACTCTCCTTTGAGAATCCTGGCAGCCTGATCCAGCATTTAGGCCTGACAGCTGAGGGTGAAGATGTGCTGGGGGTGTTGTTTCTCCTGGAAGGATCCTTGGGACACACCAGAAGAGACAGAGACCCCCCTCCCCCCACACACACATACACCAGACCTCCTCCAGAGGTTTCCACAAAGGACCCAAAAAGCCTCCCTTGCACATGGAAAAAGACGGGTGTTTTCTTAATTGACAAAGAGAAGGTGATAGAATTGGGGGAATTCTTCTATTTACAATTCCAACCCATTCTTTTTAGCATTTGCTAAATCTTTGGCACTATTTATCCCAGTTTGTACCTAAGTATTTTCTCTCTAGGGCCACCGTTCATGGGCTGCAAACTTGATTGTGGTCTAGACTTAAGGCTGCCTGGGTTTGAATCGTGGCTCTGCTGCCTGCCAGCTGGATGGCTCTGGGCTTGTTACTTAATTTCTCTGAGGCCCCATTAGGTGGAGATATTCGTGAAGATTAGATGCGAATGCACGGAAAGGGACCAGCACAGTGGCGCGGTGTCGGATAGGAGTTACTTATTGTTTCATGTTGAGAGTCTTGGGACTCTTTTGTATAGAAGGTTAACTTCAAATCAAAGCTGGAAAGGATCCCTGGAACGCTCTTGGTTCAAGGTCCTCCTTTTATAGATAGGAGCTCTGAGACCTGGAAAGAAGGATGATTCTGCTTCCTAGCTCACAGAAGCGGGGTCCATAGCTGCTTTTCTTGTATTTGCCATTAAACTCCAGTTGCCCTGGAGCAAGAGAAAATGATGTGAAAACCAGGTATAGAGTCAATTGTGTATGTGCTTTCCTCTAATGCTTTGAAAACTGGTGATACCGCCATGATCTAATTTACTGAGTATTTGATTGAATCAGCACTAGCCACTGTCTGAGCTGGCCAGATAGCAGAGAGCTTTGCTCAGTGAGGCATAAGCTCAGACAGAACCTTTTGGATTCCCAGTCTGCCAATTCACAAAATTAGGGATGCTTAAAGGGGGCTTTTGTGGCACGTGCTATGGAAGGTGGGGGCGGGGATGGGGTGGGGAACAAACCTTTGCATCTAAGGGATTCTGTGTTCCCCAGTGTAACCAAGATCCTGGACTAGGTCTCAGAGCCTGCTTTAGTGGTTTCACTAATTGCAGTCCTCCATCCCTGCCTCCTCCCTAGAGAGAGACTTGCCCAGATGGGGCTAGAATCCATCCTGAAGGGGGCCTGGCTGAGGGTGAGATGGGATGCAGAAGCTAGTCAGACTAACCCAGAAGAGAAGGTTGGGTGCTGATGAGCTGAGCTGGGGTTGGAGCTCTGGAGCTTCAGAGCAGCCTGGTTTATGGATGTGCCCCACCTGCTGGTGAGATCTAGAACTGCTAGAGGATGGGTCTCACAAAAGGTAATCCCGTCCAGCACCACCTTACCTTCTTGGCTGCAAGAGCTATAATCTCCAGTACTAGAAAGAATTACAGTCCAGGAGCCCATCTTGGAACTGGCTTATTGCCTACCCCCTGCAATTTAGGGAACTCTTGAAAATTTGGAAGCCCAAGGCAAAGACTGGCCCCTAGGGTGAGTGGCATCACCTCTCTGAGCCCCATTGCCAAGTCCACCTGAAGGAGGACCAAAACTGCCTTCCATAAGGAGATTCTCGGTCACATTGACTGAAATAGTGCAGCACCATATCTGTCCACTGGGATGTTCTGGAAGGTCACAGGGTCTTAGCTGATGGCAACTAGAATCCCTGACCTGAGGCTGGGCTCTGTGGGGCCCTGCAGGGACATATTACCCAGCATTCCTAAGAGCTGCCTCAGATTTTGAGGCCCCATCTAGGCAAAGAGGAGAAGCAAGTGGAACCTGAGCCATTCCTGTTTGCAAAACCCAGGCTTTAGTTTAACTTTTAAAAAGGGATGTGGAGCCAGATGCCTGTCTCTCAAAAGGTAATTTACAGGTTCATACCTGTAATCCTAGCTGCTTAGGAGGCTGAGCTCAGAGGATTGTGGTCCGAAACCATCCAGGACAGGACCGTCCATGAGACTCTTTTTGTTTGTTTGTTTTGTTTTTGGTCGGTCGTGGGGCTTGAACTCTGGGCCCCGGGCACTGTCCTTCAGCTCTTCAGCTCAAATCATGGGACTCTTGTCTACAATTAACCATCAAAAAGGCAGCAGTAGAGCTGTGGCTCAAGTGGTAGAGCACTAGCTCTGAGCTAAAAAAAATCTCAGGGATGAATTCAAGCCCCAAGACTTGTATAAAAACAAAAAAAGCGGGGGGGGGGGGGGAGGGGGGAGTCATGATCCTAATTACAGGACAAAGTCAGTGACCGTGGGCCTCCTTCCTTCAATGGCTCAGAAAGGTGTCCCTCTCTACCTCCCACACAGAGTGGCTCCTCCAGACTGAATTTGTGATTCCAAAGGATGGGGGACTTACTGTACTGGGCTGTTTTCACTCTGTGTGTCTCTCCTGCTCTCTCCCTCTCTTCCTGTCTCTGTCACTCTTTTGCTTCTTCCCTCCCTCTCTCTTTTCCTCTGGCCTTGGGCCTACCCCTGCAGTCCCAGAGGACCCAGGACACCTCTCAGCAGGACTTGGTACCTGGAACAGCCCCAAGCGTGGAAGTGTTCACTCAGAAAAGCCTCGCAGCGTCACCTGAGGTTACTGCCTTTCCCTTCCCTGGTCCCTGCCTCCTGGGGCCACCCACCCATGCCAGTCTACCTTCCAGGGTCTTAAGAAAACCCATCCTCTGGGGTGAGGGTCTAGACCCCTGCAGAAAGCAGCAATGGGTGGCTATGCTATTCCCATGCTATGACCAGCAAGCCGAGGGATCCATAAAGGGCCAGCCCTCCTCATTCATTGTTTCTCAGAGAGGACAGGACTGAAACCATCTTGGAAAGACCAAACAGCTGAATATCTAGCTTTAAAGGAGAGGAGACATGCTATCTCAGAGCAGGGGACCCTGGTGCGGGCTCTGATCTCGAAGCTTAGGGCTAGAGGTCATGTCTCCTTAGTCTTCTCTTTGTTCAGAAGCCCAGGTGGGGTCTATCAGTGGCTAGTTAGGGCATGACATCCCATCTATCCCCTGCCTCCAGTTATTTAAACTCCTCTAGGGCATGGGTCTGTCTGGGTGTCCAGGAGATGAAAATGGGTCTCCTGGTAGATGATCATGGACGTCTTTCTCCAGGAGAATTCTTGGGCTGCAGTGAGCTCAAGCACACAAACATTCTGAACAAGGAAAGCATGGCTTCTGTTCCCAGGGCTCTGGGGATTTCCTGTGGTTCTGTGTGAGTGCTGGGTGTGGGATCCAGGCCCTGCCAGCAGGGGCCATATCCTGCCCTGCTGGGCTTTCAGACGACCTCCTCTGTTGGCATAAAACAAGATTCTATAGCTCTCGTTCAATGTACTGAAACTTTAGGAAAAGTCATGATTAAGCTCCAGATGTGATGAAACATAAACGAGAATTCGCCATGGATTTCTTCTCCATATAAGATAAAAATGATAAGCATTCTCTCTTGAGGGAAGGAGGATTGGAGTCAACAGCATCCTAAGTGCAAAGGTCAGGGACAATGATTCCTTGGAGTCTACAGATGCTTCTAGAACCAAGGATGTGTCCCTGTCGGGGGCGAAGTTCCCGGTGGGCACCCTTCATCATCCTCCACAGAGGGACTCTTTCTAACCTTGACAGCAGCCCATCGTCTCCTCCCCAGTTAGCCAGAGTTGTGTTCATTTCAATCTGTCCATCCAAATCGGCAGCCTGAGGACATCCTGCTGCCCTCTGGTGCCCATCGGCCTGCTCTGTAATCTGCCAAAGACTTCCTAAGCGGGTTGAAAACTTCCCCTTCCCTAGACGTCCCTACTGCAGCTTCTCCCATGAAGTGGTGTCTAGAAGGCCTCATGTTCCAGACCTCCTCCTCCTCCTCCTCCCATAAAGGATAAGGCCCAAGCTTCAGGTAGGGCCTGAACAGCTCCGGGTCAGTAAAACCAATCCCTCTGGAGACTTTTGTCTGTGTCTTGTGTGGGAGCAGAACCAGCCTCTCTGTTCCCAGTTCTGTGGCTGGAGTGCCTGCAGTGCCCCCAGCACACTGCAGGGGGAGCTCTAAGCAAAGTCATGAAGGTGAAAGGGCTCAGGAATGAGATTGGCTGAGCACTCGCATCATCTAGGGCTGCCTTGTTTGGTGATTGGGCCAGGTATGTCTCTCCTAGTACACTGATGATAACAAAGTTTTCACTTTTCCCTCTAGTCTTTCCGCCCCCCCCCCCACCCTCCCACCACCTCAGGATCCAACAAACCTACTTTTGCTGGTTAGAAGCAGAACCCATACTTTGTTCCCTCACTGCTCACTCTGTCGTCTTATGCAAGTCCTCTCCCACCCTGAGAGCCTCAGTCTCCCCTTCTGAAATAAAAATAATGATGCCTGCTTTATACTGCCAGTCTGATCACGTTTCCTAGCACAAAGGGCTAACCTTGCTTGGCATCTGTAACCAGCTCTTACCACATGTGTCTCTTCGGCCTTCAGAAAGAAAGTTTCTTTCCATTCCTCACCATCTCCTCCCTCACACTATGCACAATTGCTCATGTAGACTGGTTGCTAGTTCGAGTTGGGGCAGGGAAACATTCCAGAAGAGGTCAACAGCTCTGTCCTCCCTTGCCAGGCTGATAATGTGAGTACAAGCTGAAATGGGAG